AACGTGCGTGTACCTGAGTAATACGGCATAGTCGGTGTAGGGGACGATAGTCTCATGTATCGATACCGTACCAGGGCAAGTACACGGATACGGATATTGGTATCCAGAAGGGTGGGATATTGCCGTAGTAGTAGTAGTAGTAGTAGTAGTAGTAGTAGTAGTAGTAGTAGTAGTATAGTAAGCAGCATCATCGCCGAGTTCTCTTCTGCTGCTCCCACCACTACCAATGACTTCGACGCCAAGATGGGCATTCTGAGCATTACTCGTAGTACCTGCAGTCTGCATATCGACACCGTTCTGTGGATGTGTCCGGCAGAGGGAAGCCATCGAACCGAGAGATGGATGGACCCTATCAACCGCTGCTACTGCTACTCCTACACCGGAACGGACGAGGAGAATAAAACTTGCAGACAAAACTTGAAAGGGTCTTGATCATGCGATGACGCTGGGGAAACGAAGGGACGGTGCTAAATTGATGCCCAGATTATGCCGTGACAGGATCAATGGCAGCGACCTCTCCCATTGGGTAGCCTCTGTGATCAGACAGGGTACGCGCAGGAAGGGGACAGATCATGGTTAAAGGTGCCTATCTAGCAATAACCTACCAAGCATGAGCAGTATAGATGTTATCGCTCCCGGGGTCTGCTCCGTACCGGTACGCTACTCGAGGGTTGCCTGTATTGCATGAACACCGTAGATACGAGTACGAGTAGATGCAAATGATGGGAGCCGGTCGAAATTCCAACAGAGTATTATGCCTCTACCGGGTCAGATCTAGGCTCACATGACAGCACGCTTGACATCGCTGCGCACTGTAATCTGTACAGATTGCATGTACGGCTTACTCGACGCTCGCAGATAACGACGACTCCGCAATATGGAGACGGCTCAACCTGCTCAAATCTCGTACACATGGACAGAGTAGAAGCGAAATAATACCGGTATTGAGCCCGATGATACGAGTCTCGTGGTTAAGATAACGAGAGGGTCAAGCACAGCACAAGCGTCCAACGACAGGTACAGCCAGCAATCGGCAGCGCCAGAGCCGGCAACGACTCGACACGGACCAGGGGTAGGAGGGGAGGGGGGGGGGTCTTAATTAGAAACCCCTGCGGGTCGCATCCCATCTCTCGTTCCTATTCGGATGTCTGCGGTATCTGTGGCCCTGTCATAAGAGAGCATTGACTCCATTCGGGTGAGTGGCCACAATGAAGTGGTCCCTCCCTGGGAGTTCTGTGGGTAGGGGCGACGATCCATGTATCCACACTACGAGGCCATCAGTGGCCCGGTGGGTGGTTGAGTGGCTGATGGACGGCAAAGTGCAGCAGACCTCCCACGGAGAGGTGCTGTAATTTCCCGGGGTAACCTGTGCCTCACGGCCGTGAACCAAGCATGACGCCGGACGGACCCAGGTACGGGGCACTAAAAAGGTCCTTTCCCCACCGTGTGCACTAAAACATCCCGGTAAGGGGAAACCACACAGACCCAACCGACTAATACTGTCGAGAGCAATCAGTGGACAGACGCTGTCATCGAGGAAGGTGCGACTGGGGCGGAGAAGGAGGTAGAGAAGGAAGCAGAAGGAGCACCTGGGAAGGAGCGAAAGGGGATCAACAGATGGTATTAAAAAGCGCACTTCCTCGATCTTCCATCCTCTCTCTTCTTTCCCTTTNCAGACCCAACCGACTAATACTGTCGAGAGCAATCAGTGGACAGACGCTGTCATCGAGGAAGGTGCGACTGGGGCGGAGAAGGAGGTAGAGAAGGATTCAGAAGGAGCACCTGGGAAGGAGCGAAAGGGGATCAACAGATGGTATTAAAAAGCGCACTTCCTCGATCTTCCATCCTCTCTCTTCTTTCCCTTTCCTCTCCTCCAGCCAACAAGCCAATATTTTCCGAGCCTCATCTGCTTTGACTCAACCTTGACTTCGGTCGTCCATTCTTTCACAGCAAGCTATCAAGACACTCTCTTTTATCAAAACAACCCACAGTTCTTTCACGAACCCCCAACAAATCAATCAAGATGCGTTTCACCGTTGCCGCCGCCCTCCTCGCCACCGGCGTCATGGCCGTCTCGACCGAGTACGAGACGCAGCTGGTCACCATCACCAGCTGCGGTCCCGAGGTCACCAACTGCCCCGCCGACTCTACCAAGACTTCGGCCACGTCCAGCCTGATCCAGACCTCGGCCACGGACGCCATCACCACCCCCGGAGCTCCGGCTGCCACTCCCCTGACGACCTTGACGGTCTACACGTCCAAGGTGCACACCATCACCTCGTGCGGCCCCGAGGTGACCAACTGCCCGGCCCACAGCACCGTCATCTCGACCGAGACCATCCCCGTCTCCACCACGGTCACCCCTGTCGGCCCCGGCTCCTCCACCGGTGTCCCCCCCGCCGTCCCTACCTACGCTGTCCCCTCCAACGGCACCACCCCCGTTGCCCCTGAGCAGCCCGGCGTGCCCACCACCGGTGCTCCCGGCACCTCTGCCCCGGTCACCAGCGGTGTTCCCTCTGCCCCCGCGCCTTCGGCCCCCGCGCCTTCGGCTCCCGTCTGTGCCCCTAGCTCTTCCGTCACGGCCATCACCAAGAGCTACACCACTGTCCTGACCTCGGTCGAGTACTCTACCATTGAGGTTCCCTGCGCCACCTCTGCTCCTCCCACCGTCCCCACCGGTGGCCTCACCCCCAACCCCCCTGCCGGTGCTGTCCCCCCCGCTGGCGGCAACACTACGTAAGTTCTCCCCTCCCATCAATCGCCTCTCGAGACGTAGGCTGGCACTTTCGAGGCCCATGGACTGACATGACAACAGCACCCCCGCCCCTCCCGTCCCCACGGCCGGTGCTGGCAGCCTCGCCGGCTCTGCCGTCTTCGCCGCCGTCGCTGGTGTTGCTGCCTTCGTCCTCGCTTAAATATCTTCTTTCGACTTATTAGTTGAAGCCTGAGGGCTACGGCATTTTCATGACAAGTTTTTATTATTATTACCTGCAGTATTAACATTCTTTTTTGTTTGTCCCCGTGTCACTTTTTCCATCTCGGGAAGAGAGGATTTCTTGGATAGGGGGTATCAAGGCGGAAAATCCTTCTGGTTTTGTCCCTGGATCATGTATAGAATCACATTTTCATTACATTAAATGAGGCTTAGCCTCTGAATCTTTCCTTTTCTTGGAGCTCTTTTCTCCATTTTGTTCTGCTCTTCCCTGGATCAGGTGAGGAGAAGAGGGGTTGGAAGTTCTATAAAATACTATCAGGCCCATTTTCACGACTCTGGCAACGGGAGGTCATACTGTACTTTGATCTGAGCAGCATTGCAATATCGCAGGGCGTTTTTCCTTTTCATCTTGACATATTTTTCATCTTCGCTTTCCATTCTCCTGAGGAGATGGCTCTTTATATATATAGACCATTCTGAAAAATCATTGCTTACTTTTTTCCGTCCTTGTTGTGTGCGATCTTCCTGTCGTGAATGATGTCTTGTCTCATATGTCTGGTGCTGAGTCATGTGTGTGTGTGTGTGTGTGTATGTGGATGTACCCGTCTGTTGATCACAATCATACATGTCCAACACACGCACATGCAATCGGACTTTCTCTCTCTCTCTCTCTCTCTCTCTCTCTCTCTCTCTCTCTCTCTCTTTTCCTTTCTCTTTTTTTTTTGGTAGGACTTGAACTTGACACGACTTGGACAGGTTTACTACCCCACATTCGCGACTCCGTATAGATGTAAACTGTCTCAAGCCAAGGTCGCGATAGTAGGGGGGGCAAGGTTGCTGGGCCATGTATGTTGAATGGTTATTTGGTACGTGTAAACCGGTAGGCTGTCTTGTGAGGAATGCTACGCGCCACCGACGTATAGAAATAGACATGCTGGGCCGTTTTCTTGATTCTTTATTCTATCTTACTATTTCTGCTATGACACGGTATGGGGGGTTGGGGGGGGGGCGGTTGAAGGAAAAAGAAGAAGAAGAAGAAGAAGAAGAAGAAGAAGAAGAAGAGACATGCTCTTTTTATTCCTATTCCTTATATCGAAAGCAAAGTGTCTCGGGTATCCGCTGGAATGATGGTAAAGCAGTAAGACCGGGGGCGGGCAAGGTATTAAATCATCATCACCTGGTAACCCATGATTTCAGGGACGCAACGGGATCATCAGCCTGTTGGTAATGTGACGTGTAATGCGCGACGATGACGGGACGCCAGTCGAGCGGATTTGTTTTACAGAGTTGGCGTTGGATACTGCTGCATCATGTCAACCTGATGATGGTGGGTTGCTGTACGGTTTTCTTGCGTGTCATGCCACCGATGATCATCTCCACATGACTCTCTTCAACATGTCAAGGTTGACCGGCCATGACTGATCTGCCGAGCGTTACGTGATGTCGTTGCACGCCTCTTCTCTCTCGATCTTCTCCTCCTGGCTCTTCTTCCTCCTCCTGCTTCTCCTTGCCCCCCCCCCCCCCCCCCCCCCTCTCCTCTCTCTCTCTCTCTCTCTCTCTCCATCCTTCGACAGCCCGAGCATCAGCCACGACTGATCTGTACAGCTCATTCATCATTTCAATCCATCTCTTCCTCGATAGTCGAACACCATCTCCATCATACAAGGACTTTTATATATATATGTTCATGAATAATATGAATATTTTGAATATCCGGATTTTCCATCGCGTCTCAACTCTCTACTCGTACTCCACCGTCTCCGACATGGTACGCGCGTATGTATGTATTACCTGTACAGACCCAAGATCGCGTCGGGAAGAAACAGCTCCACATCATCATCACCCCCTCCAGTGCGAAAGACAAGAGACAAAAAAAAAAAAAGAGGTCGGGCTCATACCGGCGACGGGCTAGAGAGGTCTAGCACGGGCCGTCAGACCTTTTCCTCCACCTCTCTCTCTTCTCTCTAGTGCGTCCCACCCTGCCGATGCCGATGCCGTCGGGGGGCGGTTGCTGCGTGGCCTTGCGGAGTCCCATCCAAGCATCGTGGCTTATATCGGATATATACTCTCGTCATGCTGGCCTTCCTTTACCTGCTTACGGTACGGGCGCCAGAAGAGACGCCGGATCCTTCTGACGATGATACGACGGCGGCGGCGGTGGCGTCTAGCACGGCCTAGATAGAAAAAGGGTCACCCCCCCCCGTACGTGTGTACAGGTAAAGTATGTCCCGTATGTATGTAGCTATAGCATAGCACATGCGATGATCTATATACAAAGTGTGCCATCGCCTGTGTCAGTCCATTAGGGCTGAATTATACATGGGGGCGTGGGACAGCTCTGCTTGCATAGGCAGATGCACTTTCTTCGCTTCTTTCTTATATCTTTTTGTCTTTTTTTTTGTCTTCCTTTTCTCTACCTCTATATCTCTCTATGCACACATATATATATATGTGTGTGTGTGTGTGTATTTGTCGTAATATAGTCCCTGCTGTATGACAGCCCTACCATGTGATATGTTGACAGACCGTGAGGGAGAGTTTACGGGGTTGGAAGAGACATATATGAGTGATATGATGAGCGAGAGAGTGAGTAAAGAGAGTGAGTGTTTGAGATTCAACCAGCTATTGAAATGTAGATCAATTCGTCTCCTCTCTCTCTCTCTCTCTCTCATTCCTTATTTCTTCTCACTATTTTCCTCTCTTACATTCTCCATTCTGGCATGTGTCGGAGAGTGCTGATCCTGTCTCTTGGGAAATAGCCTTGACTCAGATGTGAGAAACAGAACGAAACTCTGCCCAGAGTGAAGAGGAGTAGATCGATCGGTTGCCTTGGCACTGGGTGTATCCGAGTCCGAGTGCGAGACTCATATGAACGTAGTAGATCCGTTAGCCGTCACTTGACATTGTGACCGAATACTTGACGTACTGGCCGATACATGGCAATAACAGCAGTATGACTACTGATAGTCGTGTATGCTTGGATGATCCGCCCTCGATCCGGGAGTTCTTCCTCCCCTCCCCCCCTTTCCGCGTTATTATATCCTCGCGCATCCCCTCTTTCTTTCTCAAAACTTCCCTTCTCGCCTACTATTGACAGGTAGTCTCTCTCTCTTCTCTTCTCTCTCTCTCTCTGTCTCTCTTATTCTATTCTGATCATCTCGGGACTGGCATCTTTCGAGCTGGCAGTGCCACCTTCTCTCTACTAGCAGCGCCACTCGGATCCGACTATATCACATAACTCGCAGCTGTGCTGCCCCCCTCCCCTCGCCCGTTCTCTTTCTGTTCCTCGCACTCTCACCCATTATTCTTCTCATCTCCGGGAAAGAAGAGAGAGCTTGCCTACTTCTGAGAGCACTGCCTTTCTCTCTTTTTTTCTTTTTTTTTTTCTCTCTTTGGGGAGGGGGCTCTTGCATATAGATAACATTGCCCTCTATATATCCTACCACACACACAACATACGCGCAGCACATTACGACGATACGACAACGACAGCACATACACGCACACACGGAAACCACAATGTCCGCCGTGCCTCAGGTCCTCATCGCCTTTGGACCGGATGTCACCTGCACCCTCGACATCTGCCCCATCGAATGGAGCGTCTACACCTATCGACCTTCTCTACCGGCCAACATCACCCTCCTCGCCCTCTTCGGTGCCGTGGGCCTCGTCCACGCCTACCTCGGTCACCGATGGCGAGCATGGGGTTTCATGGTCGGTATGCTCCTAGGTTGCGTCTGTGAGATGATCGGCTACGTTGGTCGTATCATGCTGTATAATGATCCCTTTTCCTGGATTGGCTTCATGATACAGATCAGTGAGTTTTCTTCTCCTCTCTCCTTCATTCTTTCCCCCTCCACAACATCTCTCATTATATGCAAAAAAGAACAAAAAAAAACAAAAAACGACAGAGATGCTAATCCCCCCCCCCAAAAAAAAAAGTTTGCCTGACCATAGCCCCCGTCTTCTTCACGGCATCCATCTACGTCACCCTATCCAAGACAATCATCTACCTGGCCCCCGAGGCATCCCGGTTCAGACCCGAGCTCTTCTACTGGGTATTCATCCCCGCCGACGTCATCTGCCTGATCCTCCAGGCCGCCGGCGGGACCCTCTCCACCCAGACCTTGGGTGGCCAGACGGGCGTCGACATCTCCATGGCCGGCCTGGTCCTCCAGCTCGTCGTCATCCTCCTGTTCATCGTCGCCTTTGTCGACTACATCGTCCGGTACTGGCGGTCCGGCGGCAGGGCGGGCACTGCCGCCGCCGCCGTGACGTGGCGCCTCGCCGCCTTCTTCGCCGGCCTCTCCGCCGCCATCGTCCTCATCCTCGCCCGCTGCTGCTACCGCGTCGCCGAGCTCAACCAGGGCTACTTCGGCGAACTCATGCACGAGGAGGTCTCCTTCGTCGTCCTCGAGGGCTGCGTCATCGTCCTGGCCGTCGCCGCCCTCTTCTGGGGTCACCCTGGCCTGGCCTTTGGCGGTCGCGCCGGCCGCCCCGTCGCTCCCCCCCCCAAGAGCGCCATCGTCGACTTTGACCTCGGCGAGTCCGGACCGTACGAGCAGCTCGAGGAGGAGGACAAGCGATGAGGAAGGGACGGTGAACCACACACACGACTCCTCCCCCTTCTCCATTCTCATTTCTCATTCTGGATATTCATCTCCCTTCTCACCCGGTACCTTCTTCTTCTCCTTCTCCTCCTCCTCTTCTTCTCCTCCTCGTCCACCTTCTTTTCATCTCCCGTCATACCCTCTTTCTATCTTTGTGTGTGGTATCAGCGTTCTCGATTATATGGCGTCATTGTTCTGAGCTCTGCTGGCTTGCGTATTTTTTTTTCTTCTATATCTCGTCCACCCACCCTAGACGGGCATGTCTACCATGGAATTGCTGGTCATACACAGACAGAGTAAACGACGTCAAGGCTTTCGCTCCTCGCTCTTGCCAATGTCTTACACCTCACGACGGGATGCTGGTGCCCTGTTGCCGGTTAGGATAGGAATCAGACGATGACGAATATCAGTATACATCAGTAGAAGCACGGTTCTATATTCGAGTGCAGAGGGGAAGGGAATATGGACCCGAACCGAGGGGTGAACCACATCCTTTCCACTATAAACCCTTGGCTGGCTCCTTCCCAGGCCAGGAAGAGTGAGGCGGGGTAGTTTGGGCAGTACAGAGTCCGCTGTACCGCACGCACGCACCTTGTGGGGGGAAGCAGCCCGGCCGGATTATGATAACAGTGCAGAATCAGATTACAGGTGGTGGTGGTACCTGTACGCCAGGTGCTCGTGCCAGTAGATTGCGTGTATCCGTACTCCGTACTCGTGCTGATAAATGATGATGCATCCTCCCTCCGTCACCGTCACCTCCTCCCCCCCCTCTCTCCTCCCTCCCTCCCGCAACACTGCACACCGCCACCTCCTCACACGCCCCGCATGATCAGGGCCCTGGCTCCTACTGTCCGCTCACTACGTTACGGATCAAGAGCCGCTTATCAATCGACGACGACGACGACGACGACGACGACGACGACGACGACGACGGTACTGACACCTCTGCCGTCCTCGTCATTCTGCACCACGACCGCGACCATGGCGCCCGATAAGACGGCCCTCGACTTTGTCGACTTTGTCAACGCGTCACCGACGCCGTACCACGCCGTGCGGTCGGCGTCGGAGCGCCTGGAAAGGGCCGGCTTCGAGCTGATCCGCGAGCGCGAAGGCTGGGCGTCGACGGTGCGTCCCGGCGGCAAGTACTACCTCACGCGCAACGGGTCGTCCATCGTGGCCTTTGGCATCGGGCGGCGGTGGCGACCTGGAAACCCGGTGGCCATGGTCGGCGCGCACACCGACTCGCCCTGCCTTCGGGTCAAGCCCGTGTCGAGGAAGTCGGCCGTAGGGTACATGCAGGTGGGCGTCGAGACGTACGGCGGGGGCATCTGGCACTCGTGGTTCGACCGAGACCTCAGCCTGGCGGGGCGGGTGCTCGTGCGCGAGGGCGACAGCTTTGTCCAGAGGCTCGTCAAGGTGGACAAGCCCCTCCTGCGCATCCCCACCCTCGCCATCCACCTCAACCGGTCGGCGTCCTTTGAGCCGAACAAGGAGACGGAGCTGTTCCCCATCACCGGGCTGGCAGCCGCGGAGCTGAACAAGGGCGGGCCGTCGCAGCAGAAGGACGACGGCGGCGGCGAGCGGGCCGGGGTCGAGGGCGAGGACGAGGAGTTCAGCCCGCTGGCCGACATGGCGGAGCGCCACCACCCACACATCATGGACGTGATCGCCGGCGAGCTCGGCACCGACGTAGCGGCCATTGCCGACTTCGAGCTGACGCTGTACGACACGCAGAAGTCGTGCATCGGCGGCATCAACGACGAGTTCATCTTCTCGCCGCGCCTAGACAACCTCAACAGCACGTACTGCGCAGTCGAGGGCCTCATCTCGTCCGTGAGCGACGAGGCCGCCCTGGACGAGGACTCGACGATCCGTCTGATCGTCTGCTTCGACCACGAGGAGATCGGCTCCACGTCGGCGCAGGGCGCGCACTCCAACCTGATCCCGTCGGTCCTCCGACGCCTGTCGGTCCTCCCCGGCAGCGGAGGCGGCGGCGGTGCCGGCACGCGGGCCAGCGGCGGCAGCGACGCCAGCAGCTTCGAGCGCGTCAGCGTCGACAACGACTACTCGGCGGCGGCGGCGGCGGCGACGGCGACGGCGCACGAGCAGACGCTGTCGCGGTCCTTCCTCATCTCGGCAGACATGGCGCACGCCGTCCATCCCAACTACGCGGGCAAGTACGAGTCGTCGCACCAGCCGGCCATGAACCGCGGCAGCGTCATCAAGGTCAACGCCAACCAGCGGTACGCCACCAACTCCCCGGGGATCGTGCTGCTCCAGGAGTGCGCCCGCGCCGCCGAGGTGCCCCTCCAGCTGTTCGTCGTCCGCAACGACTCGCCGTGCGGGAGCACCATCGGTCCCGGGCTGGCGGCCGCCCTGGGGATGCGCACCCTCGACCTCGGCAACCCGCAGCTGAGCATGCACAGCATCCGCGAGACGGGGGGGGCGGCCGACGTGGGGTACTCGGTCAGGCTTTTCGACAAGTTCTTCCGCAGCTACGGGGAGTTGGAGCCACGAATCCTGGTAGACTAGGTATATATATAGCAGTAGCGGATGTAGGCCGTCGAGACGGCGGATGATGTCAATTCACCTCGGATGCATATCGAGACGATAAGACAGTGTAGCCTATCTCGCAAAGACTGGATGCAGATTTGTATAGAGAAGAGAGAGGAGGAGAGAGAGAAAGGAAAAAGTCTAGCAGAACCGAAACGCCGTAAACCGGCCCATCCAGATAAAAAAAAAAAAATTCAGAACCGATTGCAAGCCATAGAATGAAGAGGAAGAGTAGAGAAAGAGAGAGCGACGAACTGCCCCGTCCCGGCAAAAGAAAAGATGAAGAGCAAGAACAGAAACGGGAGAAGAAAGAAGAATGCCCCCGAAAAGAAATATATATATGAAAATCAAACGCTTGATGCCAATGTCCCACGATTCCAACAAGAAGAAGAACAACAAGAACAACGACAAGTAAAGAAAAAGAAAGAAAAAAGAGTATGATACGTAAAGACCCAGACATTCCCACGTCAACCCCATCAGATGAATCAATGAATAAAAAAAGATGGAAAGCCCTCCTCGTTAAGAAAAAGAGAAAAACAAAAAAACAAGTTCCGTTCCGAACTAGCAGTCAGTCGGACAACTCTCTCTCTGCGCACGGTTGCCTATCCATGGGACCGTCACCAACGTCGTTGTCGGCACCGGCATCCGGCTGCTGGCCGTCGTCGTCGTCGTCGTCGCCGCCGCCGTCATCGTTGCTGATCGACTTCCCTGGCAGGGGGCCAGTAAGAGGTAGAGGCTTGACGACCAGATCAGCCAGCGGGACACAGGTCTGACCGGTCCTGACTTTGTAACTGGCCAGACTCAGTCGAAGACGAAGGATCTCAGCTTTCTACGATGAGTGTCAGCGCATATATATATATATATATATATATGTGTGTGTGTGTGTGTGTGTGTGTGTGTGTGTGTGCATGTGTGTCTGTGTGTAAAGGGAACGAATAATTGAATAGAGAAAGAGAACAGAGACACACCTCTCTAGCCTGCTGTCGACTAATGGTAGGTCTAGGCGATAAATCTGCCGAACTGTTCAAGGAGGAAATGCCATTCCTGTCAGATACAGAATCTCCCTGTTCATCCGAGATTTCTGAGCTCTGTTTCTGTCGGAGAGAGAGAGGAAAAGTCAGTATACACACGCACACACACACACATATATATACATATATATATATTGCTCTGTTTGCATTGTAAAAAAAAAGAGAGAGAGAGGGAAGAAGAGAAGTAAGAGAAAAGTTGAGACAGAGGAGAAGGAAAGAAAGAAAACGTACAGCTCTCTTGTTTGGTCGTGGATCATCATCACCATGGACAGCAGAGCTTGACTTGGTCGCGGACAGAGATGCAGATGCGGATGCAGGTGCAGACCCGGAGGACGGACGCTTCAACGGACTGATGTCCATCCCGACCGCCGTCTTCTTTGGCGATGGGAGTACGTTGGCGTCGAGGGGGGCCAGAGCGCGTCTCTTGAGCGGGGAGGAGGAGGGAGTCGTCATGTCCATCTTCTCCTTCTCCGGCCGTGTCTGCTGCATCTACCCTTCCTCGTAGACGAGAAGAGAGAGGTCTTTCTGCGACGAGGGAAAAGGGAAGGGCTGTAGAAGGAAAGGAAGGAGTTGACGGGGGAGAGCGAGGAGAGAAATATCGTAAGGAAGAAACGAGAGAGGAGAGGGAGAGGGAGGGAGAGGTGGGAGAGTCCAAAAAAAAAAAGAGAGAGAGAGAGGTGAAAGAGAGTAGAAGAGGAGAGTCCATTATATTCAATTCCACTCTGCACGCGCGTATATATTGACTCGTCGACTGAATGGGGTATAGCGTCGTCCATCACGAGAACGCGGCGGCGCGAGATGCAGGTAACTGCTACATCATGTACAGAGTAGCAGAGTAGCAGAGAGAAGCAGAGCTGCAGGATACATTGTATCGGTACAGATTGCCATCTGCAGCCTTCTCAACTCTCTCTTTTCCTATGCTCTGTACTCTCTCTGTAGTACTCTTCTCTATCTCTACATATACATATACATACATACATATATATACCGAGAGCGTGGATGGATGCATCGTACAGATCACGCGCCTCAACCATCAACCATCAACCACCACCCACCGTACATGTGCACGACATTTCGTTCCCTCCTCAGCACGACACATCTCTCTTGTACCGACGACGCACACCCCGATCAAGAGAATCAACAGATTCAAATCCATCAACCATCAACCATTAACCGTCCCACTTCATTTTCTTCCAATCCATCCCATCTCCCCCCCCCCCCACATACACGCACACACATGTCTCATCCACCACACACCTGGACGCGTCTGCTCTCGAGTCAAGACCAGAGAGTGTCTGTCTCTCCAAGATGCACAGGTCTCTTCTTCTTCTTCTTCTTCGTTCCTACCAGGTTCCCACCAGGTTCAACCTCGCCATCTTACCAGGCAGGGTAGGTGTTAACCCATTCAACCTCGACACGTACGTGGACAGTGGTACAGCGCAACCCACGACGTGAACCATCAGCATCAGATACGGCATCAGATACAGCAAGCATCAATACTGCTCCGGACCGCCACACTCGTGCGTCATGACACCCTTCGATCCCTCATATACTACAGGCAGGGGACCCTTCCTGCTACAGCTAGGGCCAACACATCATTCACATCGGCGGACAGCTGCAGATCGAACCATGGATGAAGACAGTAACAGCTGCAGACCGAAAGACTGCGCGGCAAGAATTGTCAACTGCAGAAGACGATACTGCACAGAGTATCCCTACATTACTTCCGACGCCTGCTTAAACCATTCGGGACCCTCACGCCACGCCCACCCTTTTCCATATCCTCCTCCTCCCCTTATATATCCAAAATGTATTGCCTTGCAAATGTATTGCCTTGCGTCGCCCTGCCGTGTGTGTGTGTGTGTGTGTGTGTGTGTGATCAATCAATCTCTCTCACACACACACACACGCACATCATCATCATCTGTACCATTGAGCGGGGCAGAGAATCAAGGAATCGGAGAGTCAAAAAATCAAAAAGAAAAAAATGAACCCCTTTGCTTATAAGACATTCAAGCGTTAAAAAAAAACCCCCCGAAAGCAACCCATCATAAAAATGTAGGGGGAAAATAAGAAGAAAAACACCCTCCATTCCAAAACAACCCAGGGAAGAAAAAGAAGATAAAAAAACGGGGTATATCTTGTAACGACAAATAAAAGAAAAAAAGGAGCAGGGAGGGAGAACGACGACTGGTAGATACCATGAACCGCTGGAACCACGACAGTACACCGAACCTGTCCCTAGTACCCGAGGGACAGCTGCGTAGTGTCCAGAGTATAGGGCTCGCTGAAGTCCAGATTCACCTCCTCCCAGTCCGGCTCCAGAGATGTAGGCTCCTCCAGAAGCGAGGGATCCATCGTCACCTTACTCATCAGCGCCTCGTCGTCGAGCGCCGCCACCGACGTTGGCAGGTTCCCGTGACCCGTCATGTCGCCCGCCCGGTCCACGTCGAGCAGCAGGTCCACGTCGCACCACGAGTCGCCGAGACCGGTGCCCGACGTATCCGCAGCGTCCGTCGTCGGCTCGCTGGGCCCGCCGTCCTTGCTAGACTCGGGCGTGTCCTTGGGTGTCAGCGAGCGCAGCACCGCCGGGTCCAGCGCGATGGTCGAGATGCCGTTGGGGAACCCGAGCTTGGTCACCAGCTCCTGCGGGTCGAGCGACGAGCTGGCCCAGGGATCGGGAGATGACGACGCCGACGCCGCCGCCTTGACACCCGCCTTGCCCTGCGAGCTGGCCGACCACGTCATGCCCACGCCGCCGTCGAGGGATCGCGGAGTCTGCACGCCCAGGTTACCTGGCGTCTGCGCCTGCTTGGAAGCCGTGCGGCTCATGGCCGGGCCCGTAGGCTTCTGCGCCTGCTGCTGGCCGTCCTTCTTGGCGCTGCCGTCCGCCTCCAGGCCGAGCGCCGCCGCCAGGTTGTCGAGGCAGAACCTGAGCGGGTTCTGCTTGGGCCTGATGTGCTCCTCCTCAACGTGCTGCTGCAGCGCCTCCTCCGTGGCGTACCCGGCCACCGAGGACTGACACTCGGGGTCCTTGCACACCAGGACCGGCCTGGGCGGCTCCTGAGGCTGCTGCTGCTGCTGCGGTTCGGGCGCCTTGGCCGTACCCTGCTGAGGCGAGGGCGTTGCCGTCTGCGACTGGGATCCCGTACCGCCCTGCTGCTTGTCGAGCTTGGCCCTCTTACGGGGCGGGATCTGCAGGTTCATCTCCTTGGACTTGCCGACGTAGCTCGGGTTGCCGTGGGGCGACGAGGCGCCAAAGGGGAATGGCGGCTGCGCCGTCGTCGGCGCCATCGGAGCCTTGGCACCCTTATTGATACTGCTGTTGCTGCCGGCGGCCTTCTGGTTCTTGAGGGCCTGGCTGTTCTTCTCAAGGTTGGCCGCGCTTAGGGGCGCCGGTCCCGGCTGCTGCTGCTGCTGCTGCTGCTGCTGCTGGCTCTGCATCTGGTCCTGCTGCTCCTGCTGCTCCTGCTGCTTCTGGGCAAAGAGTCGCTGCTGGTGAGCAATCTGTTCCTGTGTCGGCGCCGTCGTCTGGTTGCCGACGGGAGGCATGCCCTGCGGGGGACCCGGTACCCGCTGCTGCTGTTGCTGCTGCTGCTGTTGCTGCTGTTGCTGCTGTCGCTGCTGCTGCTGCTGCTGCTGCTGCTGCTGATGCATGATACCGCGCTGGCGGACGTTGCTGGCAATGTCCATGACCATGCCCTGAAGCATGCTTCGCACCTGATCGAGCTCAGCAGGGGTGATGCTGAACGTGGGGCGGGGGCTCTGCATGTGCTCGCCATCGGTGAACTGTCGGAGGATTCGTAGGCGCTAGATGTGCGTGTCAGCAAGACTCATTTCTGCGTGCGTGTGTGTGTCGAGACGCGGAGAGTGCGGCTTACCGTCCTGAAGAATAACCTGGCGCGCTCCTCGTCCTTAGCAATGGTGAACCACTTGGCTAGACCTCGGCCAATCTTGTAGATATCCTGACCGATACGGTACAGCTTCTGGTGCATCTCGGCATACTCCCCGGGGCTCAGGGAGATATCAGCCATGGGCTCCTGGACCGAACGGCGCATCTCCTCCTGGCCAATGACCCTGAGGCGGTTGAAGAGACTCTGAGCTTCTCCGGGTTGCTGCTGCTGCATCTGTGCGACGGCGGCAGCCTGGGTGTTGGCGTTTCTGGCCCTCATCTGGTCGTACTTGGCGCGGTGCTCGGGCGTCATGTTGGCCACGTCCTCGGCAGACAAGACGAGCCCGGTGGCCGAGGACGCGTTCTGACCAGGTAGCTGCTGCTGCGAGCCCCTACGCTGACCATTGTTGGGTGCCATGTCACTCATATTGTCCGCGCTGGGGCGCTTGAGGTTCTTGGCTCCCTGGGCGGGGGAGGGAGTAGCCTTCTTTCCGCCCCGTGCGGCGGCCGGGCCAGCTGCCGGGGGCCTGACTGGCTGGGGCTTCTGGTCGCTCGACGGCGGTTTCTGCTGAGGGGTGTTCTGGCCCATGGACGCAGGCGTCATCTGTGCTTGAGGCTGCTGAGGAGTCTGATGAGGTTGCTGCATGGGCGTCGGCTGCTGCTGGTGAGGCCGAGGCGGCTGCTGCTGCTGCTGCTGATGATGATGATGAGCCTGCTGAGAATGCTGCTGAGCCATAGGCATCCCGTTGACGCCGGGCTGCTGAGGCTGACCCTGAGGCTGGCCCTGCATCTGCTGTTGCTGCTGCAGATTCTGCTGCAGCTGCTGGGCCCTCTGAGCCTGCTGGTTCCTCCAGGTGTTTGTCTTCATGTTGATGATATAGGCCCGGAGCTGTTCGTCGGGTACACCGCCGAGACTTGGCTTGCTGTTTCGCAGCTGTTGCATCTCGGCCATTGTGACGGTGATGTTGGGCGGTGTCGGCTGCGCACCCATAGGAGGCCGCGGCTGCTGCTGCTGCATGTTGGGGGGCATCTGGCCGGCTGGGGCAGTCATAGGGCCGCCGGTCATACCCATGTTCTGACCCTGCCCTTGAGCCTGCTGCTGCTGCTGCTGCTGCTGCTGTTGCTGTTGCTGTTGCATCTTCTTCTGCATCACAGCCTGGAACTGCTTCTGCTGGGTGCCGAGGAGCTGGCCCTGGAGAGCGATGCCCAGAGTGGCGGCGTTATTCTTGGCCCACATCTTGAGGGCACCCCACTTTCTGGTACCGACGGGGATCGGGGGGTTGACTTGGGACAGGCGTTCCAGTACGAGGGGAGGCACATCCATCGAGTCCATCATCAGCTGAGCCTGATTCTGGGGTATGCGACCCTGGAGCATGGCTCCAGCATTCATGTTCACCGGCTGCTGGACCTGCTGCTGCTGCTGCTGCTGCTGCTGCTGCTGCTGGGCCTGCTGAGGCTGCATGCCTTGGGGTCCCATGTTGGCGCCGCTCATCTGGCTGGCCTGGGCGGCATGACGGGCGGCCTGGTTCTGCTGGAAGTGGCGGACGAGTTCCTGAAGCTTGTGCGGAGGCAGTTCGGTGGCCTTCTGACGCTGCTCCGGGTTCATGGCAGCGAGGAAGGCGGCGTAGGCTTGGGAGCTGGGCCTCGCCATGGCGGCAGCCTGGTTAGCGCCAAAGGGGGCGTTGGGCTGGGAGCCCGGACCGGGTATCTGGTTCATGCCGTTGGCGGGGTGCGAGACTGGGGTGTTGAGGGTGCCCATAGCGGGGCTCTGCGAGGGACCCGTGGCACCGCCCATGCCAGCCTGGCCCATCTGGGCCTGAGCCTGCAGCTGACCCTGGGGCTGCTGTGGCGTCTGGTTCATCTTCATCTGGTGCATATTGGCACCGGGTTGCAGCTGCCCCTGCCCCTGCCCCTGCTGCTGTCCCTGAGGCTGCTGCTGCTGCTGCTGCTGCTGCTGCTGCTGCTGAAGGCGCGGCGTCTGATTCTGACTCTGGTTCTGGTTCGACATACTCTGCGCCATGGGCTGGGACGTGGCAGCTCCAGGTACGCCGTTGCTGATGGGAACGACCATGTGACCGGCTTGCTGGGCCATGAAGCCATTCATCTGCTGGTCCTTGATGCTCTCCATATTGGGCTGGAACTGCGAAAAGTCGTTGGCAGGGCCACCTTGCGGCTGACCAGCACCCATCATGCTCTGTCGCTGCTGCTGCTGGAACGACTGTTGACTGGGCTGCTGCTGCATCATAGACGGTTGAGGTGTTTGCTGGCCCTGAACGCCTGGCTGCTGCATCTGCAGTCTGGCGCCGCTCCTCAGTACGGCAAAAGCCTGCTGCTGATAGAGGACGTGAAGCGGATCCCTGTTCTGGGCCTGCATCTCCTGGATCTGCTGTTGCGTGAATCGGTGACGGAGTAGGGCGCGGGTCTGATTCCTCTGGTCTTCGTTGGCGGTCTGCATCATCTTGGCGGCAAGCTCCATCACCTTGGCCTTGTCGGCGGGGCTGAGCTTGCCCATCTCGCTGAGGAGGTCCACCTGGCGGTTCTGGCCATTCTGCATGACACCCATCATCTGGGAGTTCGGGCCCATGCCGCGACCAGCCTGGTTCTGCATACCGGGATGCATCTGTCGCTGAGCGGGGTGCATCTGCTGTTGAGAGAACTGTTGCGGCTGTTGGGGGCGGAACTGCTGTTGCTGTTGCTGTTGCTGCTGCTGCTGCTGCTGCTGCGGGGGCATACCCGACATCTGCATGGGACGATGCATCTGCTGAAAGCCCTGTTGGCTCATACCTCGGCCCATCTGCTGAGCCTGCTGCATATTCATCATGGCCTGTGCCTGTGCCTGGGCCTGGGCCTGGGCCTGGGCCTGGGCCTGGGCACTCAAGTTGAGCTGGTTCTGCAGAGCGGGTTCGTTGGCCAAGCGACGTTTGTGGAAATCGGCAAACTTGTTCTTGAATGCTTGCTCGTATTCTTCCTGCATGGTTGTGAGGAGGGAAGGAATCGTGGTCAGTCAGGAAATCCGGATCGTGAGCAAGGCCAAGAAGAAGGTTAGGATTTGGAGAGGAGAGGAGGAGGTTGACGGGGGAGAGTGACGAGTTCTCGGGCTGCAAACAAGGTGTGGATGGCTGCGACTGCACATGCTGACGTGGCAGGACAGTCACACAAGGAGAGGAGGAACGGGATTCTCCAAGGTCTCCGAGGCGCGATGCAAAGGGACGATCGAAGGGAGACAGGGACAAAAAGTGCGTATATATATATATATATGTGTGTGTGTGTGTGTGTGTGTGTGTGCGCGTGTGTACATACCTTTGAGCCCGCTTGCTGATAGTTCTCACGCTCGAAACGAGAGGCGATTTCGGCAATCTGTATAGTGGTGACATTGTTGGAACCCTGCTGGGACAGAGTGATCTGCGTGGCACTGGCGACGAGAGAATAGAGAGGGTCAGCGAATCGAGTTGGCGGCGACCTGATGGGAGGAAGAAGAAGAGGGGAGGTGAAGATGAGGGGAGAGGGAGGGAGGGAGAGAGACGTACAGGTGCATGGAATTGTGCAGACGTTCTTGGTTGGTGATGGTATTGTGCCAAGTGATGCCGTTGATGGGAGGAGGCGAGTTCTTGAGAGCGTTGTAGAGATATGTGTAGAGCGGACCGCGGGCGATGTTCTGGGGAGCCTGCTGGCCCATCATCTGGCCGCCCATGGGCTGCATGTTGGCAGCCATGACGGCAGAGTCGCGAGAAGATGAATCGGCCGACCCACGGGGGTGGGGGGGTTTAATCGGTTGAAGGGTTGAGTATCGATGGGAGAGGACGGAGATGGCGACCCATGCGAGAGAGAGGAGAAGATGATGAGAAGAAGAAGAAGAAGAAGAAGAAAGGAGGAGGGTGGGAGATAAGAGTCAACCAGAGGGCGAGAGGTGAGGCTCAGTTGAGTTGAGGCGGTTGTCAAGCCAAGATGAAGAGCAACGGGACGGCGAGCGGTGAAAGCCGAGGTGAGGCGCTAGTTCTCGTCAAGGTTCAGGAGAAGCTGCGAATTGATTCCCTTTAATCCTTCTGTTCCCGCCTGCCTTTATTTTCTTCTTCTTAGGGAGGGGGGATGGTGGGCGACGACGACGACGGCGACGACGACGACGACGATGGCTGTTGCGAAGCGCACGCAAACCCCCGACTAAGATAGGGAAAGAAAAAAAAAGAAGAGAGAGTAAGTAAGAGGAGGGCGTGGGTATGCAAGGCAAAAAGGAATGGCCCGAGCTGGGGGGGGGGGGTTGGTTCTTGATTGCTGTCTCAGGAAAATCAATCCGGGCTGGCCTCTTGCAAGGTGCCTCTTATGGGGCCCTATGGGCTATCCATATACCAGGCCCAAGACCTTGTAAAGGTGCGCGACAACACAAGAGAACAAGAGAAGAGAGTGATTGGGGGGGGGGAGAAGTCGAGAGAGTGGGTGGTTGAAGGGTCGACGATGATGATGGGGGGTGGGAGGAGGATGGACCCAACGACAAGGCGAAGGAGAAGGAAGGTCGGGAAATTGGCGAGGAGAGTGGGAAAAAAAGGTGGGGAGGGGAGACAAGAGACAGAGAGAGAGAGAGAGTGAGGCAAGGGCACGGACAACACGTGGCGCGCGCGGCAAGCAAACAAGACGAATTCTGTGAGGAAGAAGACGGGACAGAAAAAAAAGCCCCTCGAAGAGTAGGAGGGGAGTGAGTGATGGAGGGATGAAGAAGATGTCGATTCGGGTGGGTGGAGGACGAAACAGTCGACGTCAAGAGCAGTGACTTGTTGGGTTGCGAGTGTTGACGATTGCTGCGATGTTCAGTTCGAGGGCGCCGCGCGCGTTGCAAGTTGGTGGGTAGCACAGCGCGAAGGGGGGGATACAAACGGCCTGTCGGGTATTATGTGTGTAGAACCCAATGACTTTCAGATGGAGAATTTTTCTTTTTCCTTGACTATTTCTTTCTTCTTGTTTTCTTTCTTTCTGATTTGTCGTAATCGTTGGAAACGTTTTATTCTTCTTAAAAATGTGTCTGTTCTTCTTCTTCTTGTTTCTCTCTTCCCGCTTCGAGCAGAGGAGAGGGGGAAGGGGAGGTATCTCTCTTAGCAAGGGATACTAACAGGAAGTGGAGGATGATCGACTCGGACCGGGAGGGAAGGAACGAAATATGGAATAATAAGAAGAGAAAAGGGAAAAGGCAAAAGAAAAACAAAAAAGTTAACCTGTTTTTTAAAAAATAAAAATTAAAGAATAAGAGAAGAGTAACGCGAATAACAAAGTAGTAGATGGAGAAGGTGAAATGTAAATGGATAATCAAGAGGCTGCCAATCAAGGAACAATGCCGAAAAAGTAAAATTTTCTGTTTTTAAGAAAATAATATCAGGAGATACAATAATGAGGAAAGGGAGGAATCAAGGGTTCTCTACGATGCAGTCAGAGAGAGGAATTGGCCAAGGCGCAAACCCCCCATAAGCAGGAAAAAGGAAAGAAAAATGACGACGACGATGACTACGCGGAGAAGTTGGAGGGGAACATGGAAGAGAGCAGAGCAGGGGGAGTCACAGGGACAGAGGCCTGGGGGAGGGGGGGCCGACAGAGAGGGAGAGGGAGAGAATGGGAGATCTAAACTGGGAGCTAGATTGAGAGGAAGAGAGAGAGTAGAGGAGAGGAGAGGAGAGAGAGAGTAGAGGAGAGGAGAGGAGAGAGAGAGAGAGAGAGAGAGAG